TACTACGGAGTTCAACGAGAAATGTATCAAAATTGTCTTCGTATTGTATATTGAAAAAGCGAAAAGTCTCCATCACCTCATTCTTCCGAGGATTACAGTGTTCAGCCATTTTCTGTAGTAGAACTTTAGGGTCATTTTCGTCCTCTGTATCATTGTATACAAAGTGTTCGGCAGCTTCAATCATTTGAGCACCTGCGCAATATAAGATTATTGCCTTCTGTTCTTCCTTTGACTTGCTAGTAGAACCGCTGGCTAGCATGAAAATATCAATCTGTCTCTTCCATTTCTTAAATGTCTCTGATAAATTTTCATCATGCAGATCAAGAGTTGACGGTAAGCGAATTTCAGATACCGCTGCCACCATGTTAATAATGTCTTGGTTATATGTTAAGTTCTACATCCAAGCTATTATAGAATAAGGGTTCAACTGAATACGCTTACACTTCTTTATTACACCAGCATAACACACAACATAAGATGTCTACGGCAACAGAACATACTAGCGAGTGACGCAACTGCGACACGTTAGCACAAGACAGATAGCACAATCAATTATTAGGGACGTTACTCGACAAGGCATTATTAGCCATCATCAACACTCATGTTTACAAAATACCATACAAATAACTACAGATTGATTAATTACCGAATTTAACCAAATTTAAGGTACAGAAGTGTAATTACTAAATTTTCTGACATACAGTCAGCATTTTTGTAATACTGTTTAGGCTGGTTGCAAAGACAAACACCCGGCAGGATTCATATTGCAAATAGATTCCTAATTCGATTTTCAGTCTCTATGAATCCTATTTTGGGAGTATATATTCACGACCAAATAACTAAAAAGGCTAGTTAACAAATTAGAATGGCCAAGTACATTATTTAACTCCGCTCCTAGTCAGTGACATTAGTGGTGTAACAATATTTCAGAAGATTTTTCTGGTTATTTTTTATGACGAAACAACACCAAATGCAATTTTTTGTTTACCCTCGCGCAAATGCGACACGGGTCACAGATAATGAAGTGGGCGGATGAAGTTTGGGGGGGGGGGGGGGGGGGGTAGCCCTGCAATAAGAGATTGTGGCCCGCGAACAATACAAAAATACTAGTGTGGACAACTTTGGACCACACTGCCCTATACAATAAGATTACCGGCTATGCGCGCATATTCAATAGAAAACAATTTTTCCACCCGATCAATTTTATGTATGTTTATTTGTCTCAAAATGTAACAGTATCTGCGCACTAATTAAACACTAAAGTATAACAGAAACTGGATACAGGTTCCAGACCTCACTTGCCTAAGACACGGATGTGTGTTCTGCTTTCCGGGGCGAGTTTCAGATATTGATACCCCTTTTACCTAACTTCAAAAATAATTCGGGGATAAAATAAATTATAGATAAATAACTATTATTGTTACTATCAAATTACAGATTAATAAAGGTCAAGTAAAATAGAAACGTTTGTTTTATTGAATAAATCATCAAACTAAGCAACAAACCCACATGTATAAGATCGAACTCATTTATTACCAAAAAGCAAGTCAATTATTTCTATGTCCAATCTCTACTTTGCTGTCAACAAATGTCTGAACAACAGCCTCTTTCATCTCAATCGTCAGAAATTTAGTTTCGAGTGCTGGTTTGACATCAAAGACCTCAAATATGTTTTTATCCGTTCTACTTTGAGAAAGATCGTTCGCAATTAGCAATAGAGTAGCCAATTTTCAGTGATAAACAATATGCAATGTACAAGTATAGCATAAAAAACCCAGCCAAGATCAACCAACGAAGCAATGGAATCTTTAGCATTTCTTTAAAGATCTCTGTTTCCATTTTGGCAAAGAGACGTAACAGTAGACGTTTCAGCAGCCACACAGATTTTCTGGCATGAACATTATCTCGATTTTGTATAATATATATATACGACGATAAAAATAATAGATGAATTGAATACAATAAATAAATTATAATAAGGTAGCCTTATACAGTGAAGAATAATGAACCGAATGCAGTAAGTGTAAATCTAGTTACAATATTTCATTTGTGACGGACTAAAAGTAAGCGCTACAAAAAAAAAGCATATGGAACAAGCAAAGATTTGGCGACGTTTAAACATAGTGTTCAAAGTACTGGTATCCGCATGCGCTTGATCGACAGCAGCCAAGCACACTTTGAAAAAGAGGAAAAACGATTTTATCATCGATAAAAGACTATGGTATAAATTATATTGAGCGTACTAGTTACCTGAAGTACATGTCCGATGTACGTACCAAGTAGCTTTAATCCAGAATGGTCATATCATTCAAAAGAGACAGAATAAAAAAGAGCGATTTTTGGACGACAGGATAGCTCTGCAATAAGGTTTGAAACGTAGTATCCTATCACCACTAAAAAGTCCAGGAAAAAAATAATATTTTTCTATGCCTATCCGAGGTATCCGACCTATAGGATTGCCATCTACCTAGATTCAAAAATAAGCACGGGTGCCAAAAGTTTTTTTTGTGTGTGGGGGGCTTCACATAGACAGAAACGCGGAATAAGAATGAGAAGTAAATCATACTCGAGTCTCATCCTTCGCACTCCCAATTTTTATTATTTGAAATCGCTTCGAACACGGTTGTAAACAGCCCCTAAACCGTAAAAATCCAAGACACAGAGTCGCTGCCACACCCAACCTCTAAAGCAGAGATCGGCAAAATCAAAATCAAGAGTTACAAATCTTGGCGGGCCGCACTTATTTTTTTTTAAGAAATTTAAAACGCAACGGGTTGCTGATGAATCACATTTTTACTAAGATCAGAAGTCGAAATTTTGGTTTTCAAATAGCGAGCGAACACTGCGACAACTCGTGGTCTTGAATCGTTTTACCAAAAATTTTCAAATGGCTTTTTATGTGACACTATTTATTGCAATTACACTTGATCCCTTTTCGACATCAGGTGACACACTGGATGAAGCCAAGATTAGAACATTTTCTAATTGGGTATCACTAATCCTAGTTCTCGGCACTGAAAATTTCAACATTAATTGGTCCAGTATAATTAATAAGAAAAGCGATAGGAAGAAGAATAATTAGTTAGGAACAAGAACAACATAATAACGATCCACCAAAGGTCTTTTACGAACTGCGGTCGGGTTTCGTTGTAGCGGTTTTTAAAAATTCACAAGTAGGAAACTTAGTCGACTTTATGTAAATGGTGAGCGTCAAGAATATTGAAAAAGTATATAGAATCAAATTCATTGAAATTTTTTTCCGGGATAAGCCATCTTTGAGTGATGGACTGATTGATGACCAACATCCCGCAGTGCATAATAATAACAACTTTTATTCACACTCTTTTCCTATATTTTAGCCATCCGTAAATTGCTCGAACTTCACTATCACAGTTCAAAATACGCAAAACTAATGTAGGTAATATGTAAAACGTGTAGGAGAGATTTCTTGCTATCGACTAGGTCTAAAAAATTATTGACGTTATTATGACTATAGGTCATATTTTGAGGGGAGGGCTTATATTAAAATCATTTTTAAAATTCAGACTAGCTCTTATTTTCGGGGAAACACGGTACGAATCAATAGAAGTTAAAAAATCACAAAATTAAAGACATGACGTCAATACTTTGTATTTTGCAATTTTCTTATGAAATATATATATATTTATATATTAATATTGAAATAAATTTGGCGGACCGGCACCGGCGGTTGAGAACCACTGGCATAAAGTACGCATTACCGATCACAAAATTGAGTTTTATTTAAAAACGGCATTTTTTCGTGCAAGTGCGCGATGATTTTTTTCCTGATAATTTGGCGCCGCACGAACAAAAAATTGAAAACCGCTGCTGTAATTCATCACGCATTATTTGCATCTAGATATAATGTGCAAAACGAACCCATTATACCTCATATTCACCTATTCGAATTAGTGTTCCAAAGTAGGAAGATTAACAAACAGATCTCTGACGTATGCTTAACCTACGAATGGTCTAAGGCGGGGATGTGCAACCTTTTTCGCAGGCGGGCCAAATATCAATAACTGGGTAAAGCCGCGAGCCGCACCTTCATTTAACATAGGCTTTCTATTAGTTGCAGGCACAAAATAGTGTCTTTTTGTTACTGATCTCATGTCGTCATCATTAGGGTCCTTGCAGAAAACGCATAAATTCCTTAAAACTGTAATTCAAATATATTGTCACACCCAATTTAAATGAATTCAGTAAGAAATTTGCTACTGGATTATTTTCCCATCTATCTTTATCCAAATTTGATTAAATGGAAGTGCTAGCAATTCGATATGACGCCCATTTTAGAAAAAAAATATGTAACCGAAAAGTGCCATATTTGAAGCTATGACTTTTTACAAATGTGGAAAGTTATTTTAGTTGAGATGTTTTAATACGCCAAGATTCATTTCCAAATACTTTGCTGTCAAATCCCATTCTAGATTAGATTTAAACAATAGGCTGGAACCAAAACTCATTAAGCTTTTGTATCTCTTAATATTAAATTTTTTTCAAACTGCTTTCCAGTTGCCTAATCTTCAATTGCCTGTTCTTACAAATTCATTAGCTCCGCATTTTCCTTTCAATTCGCTGCTCGGAAAATGACTTTTTTGTAATTCGCGTTGTTCGCTTCGCTGTTAGGACCATAGGCATAGGTAACAAATCAGACTCGAATACATAAGCTTTGCACACCCCTGGTCTAAGGAATCAGCACAAGCAGTTTCGGGCCCGATTTTAATAAGCTATTGGACGCGTTCAGTAAGCTACATCAGTCCCAATAATCATCGAGTCACTTTGTACATTAGATTTTGGTGTACATTGAATGTTATGCTAATTTTTGTGGATAAAGTTTTATTCAGTATTCATTTTGAGCCTCCGGACCAGTAATCAAGTCTATTATCTGGAATCGGCCCACTCAAAAACGTAATTGTCCACCCCTGCTCTAAACTCTACGGGAGGGCAACCACCTTTAACAACGAACACTGAATACATAAGGAAAAAAAATCTTTTTTTCTTCATTGAACTAAACATACATCCAAAAGAGCACAATGCAATAATTTAATATCTTTATGGTTTTCACAGTCAGTTTAAAGCACTCATCCAGGTGAACCACTATATTGGAGGAACCGAATACAGGGTCATGATCGACTATCATGCTGTTTACAATCTCAATCTTTTCGAAATGAAACAGACAATTTGAGGGTAAGAGTAATATCAACATCATTCTTTCTCAGATATCCAGAAATTATAAATTGTCAAACCTCGTCGACTATTTAATGAACTTGGCCTAAAGAATCCTTAGCTTTCAGATTTAAAGATCATATTTAAAATGTGATTAATATTGTAACTGAATAGAAAATCAACAATCCGTCAATGTTAAGAAGTTATGACAACCATATTCTAACCTAAATGCAGTAACTGAAATGAAAACACAATTCTCATGCATGCCATGCATCAGACAATTTTCAAATCAAAATATGGGATCAACAATTTTGCTTAATTGTACTAAACTATAACAGTGATAATGTAACATTTATCTGGACTGAGAATATAAATATTGAAGGCTATTAATGGCACCGAAAAAAACCCACGATAAATCTCCAGTTCTTCCAAAACATGATCGAATTATAAAAAGTTTGGAATATTTAATCAGTATTGTAAGGGATAGATCGGTTGGTAAACCAGTTTGACAAAAGGTCAAAGAAAATTGTTCAAATTGGTATTTTGATGAACTTTTATAAATTAAGAAACTTATTAACAAATAGTAAATGATTGAAAGTGACAAACAACAGCTGGCAAATCAGGGAATTTTTTCCCCCTCTATGTTAATTTTATGATAAATTAAATATAGGTGATGGTCTGATTGTGTGACGATAGCATTTTATTTGGAAATGTGCAAGTTTATGCATTTTTGTAGCAAATAGAAAAGAGGCAGAAAAATTGTCTATTCATATTAAGTTGTTGGAAGTTCATATTCAATTTGTTATAATTCTTCCTTTTTCATTTCCCTTTCATTTGTTGTTGTTTCTGAAACAACAGGCAAAGATTTACGAGATATTTATTTTGTTTTTCAATTGTGAAGGTAACTCATTCTCATTATGCAGAATAGGTATAGACAGAGGAGTACAGGATTTTTTGAATTTCTCACACAATGAAGTATTTCCTACCACCAAGTACCATATTTATTTCAATATATACAATAAAGACAGCAGAAAACCTAAGGCTGAATACATTTGCTGATATAATCAATTCAATGTTTACTATTTGCATGGAATATTGTCTCCCTCATGCCAGGTAAATCAATAAATACTTATGGTCAAAAACTAAAGATCACAGAGTTACCCAACAATCAATTAGGTCATGACAAGCAATGTTTGTAATAACTGGTTCCAATGTTCCAAATTACAATTCCTCACCATGGGTTTCTGTTGATTTTGGGGTTGATTTTGAAGCATCTTCATTAGGTGGAATTTCCAGCTGGGGTTCATCAATATTTTCTTTTTCTTTAGTTTCCTCTTCTTGTTCTTTCAAAGGTTTATCTTTCTCATTCTCTAATACTTTTTCGCTAGTCTGTTTTTGTTCTTCTTCAGTCTCAGATTTCTCATCTGTTTTTGTTTCATTACTGGATTTCTTGACATCTTCACTATCGATAGTTGAATCAGTTGTGTTTGCGTTTTTATCTGCTCCTGTAGGTTATATAAAACAAGCTGGAAGTTGTATATGCAACCATACTATATATTGACCCCATTAGTGGTCTTCAATCTCAACAATGTAATTTGCTTTCTTTTATTTTATGTGAACTTAGTCAAAGAATATTCAATCAACTACATTTAACAACAAAACAATATATGTTCTATATTATTTAATATAATTAATCTTCCTGAAAATTCCAGACAATCTCATCGAGCAGTTTTTTTATATATCAATTCACCAATACTACTGATAAACACAAACCTGCTTTTGTTGAATTTGTTTTCGTTTCCTCAGTTTTCTTCTTCGGTTTTGCAGTTCTAGCTTTATTGAGAAGATATTGAACCTGATGTGAAACACAACAAAAAATAAAATGGCGTTGAGAACAACATTTTAACGACAACAAATCAGTATATGACATATTATTGTTTCATTGGTTTCTTTACCCAAAATAATAAACTTGTCATTAAAAAATAGTTCGTGATTTACCACCACTTGGTCAAGTTACATGTTGCTGTTTTGCAATAATACACCCCTTTTAAGAAGTTGACTTATTTATCGACTGAAATGTTTATTCCTTTGTGTAGTAATAAAATCAACTTGTATGAAAGTGTCATGATTCAGGCACATGTTTCACTGATGCTGAACTACAGCTTCCACATCTAGGATGAAATGGAACTGCTGCTTAACCACCTCTGCCAAGTTCAAACTAGAGTTATAAATAATTGATCCAAAACTATAGTGAAGCATTGACTTCTGCAAGTCATACACCAAAATATACTTGCTTTACCAACCTCTCGATTCAATTCTCCCATTTTGGATTTCAAATCGTCAGGTTTCATGATATTCTCTTTTGATGGGTCCAATGCATTCTGTAGGGCCAGAGTTTCATTCTTCCATGTCTGACATAGGAATTAAGAAAGTGAAAACACAAATAATTACTGGTCTTGATGAACAGATGACCCAGTGCCAAGCGAGATTAAATTATTAAGCGATAACATGCATACTCACAATGGTGTCATTTAATGTCTTCTTAATTAATTTAATTTCGACCTCTGTATATATCTGATCATCTTCTGGTAATGCATCAATAGCAGACACAAAATGAGTTGTGTAGTTGAACATTGTTTCCATATCCTTGACAAGATAAGAAGATGTAAATAACAATAGATTCCAATACAAAACTTTAATACAAAAGTTGGATTTCCAAACCATTACCAAAAAGTATGTTTTAAACATGGGTGAACCCGTTTCTTACTATTCAACCCAATAACAACTAACTTGCAAAATGGCAATGTAGAAATAGAAGCAAAACTATGGCAAAAAGGGACTTGATAATTAATACCAGAAGTTTATTAGGTTGCACAGTCATGTGTCAAATTAATAATCAATGTCTTGAAGAAGAATTCCTAACTCATCCTAGTGAAACAGCTCACTTAAATATATTAAAATTAAAATCCACAAGTTCTTAATAAAATAATAAACAGGAGCCAAAATAACAATAATACAACAAATTTCTGCATAACACAAGATATAAACCTTCAACAATGAAGGAAATTCTTCTCTTTCCTTTACTCTTAACAACCACGGCCTAGCCAATTGTCGAAGCTCCTTCAATTTTTCTTTGTATACCTAAATATATGAAACATCCTAAGATGATTTGTAAATAAACACATTCATGATACAAGCATCTCTGTACACAGCATAGTGCATATCACACAAAGTGCATTGTTTACATACGTACAAAAACAGCTAGAGTTATTGAATTATTAGTTAAACTTTGATTGTAGCAGCAATGAATATTGATGCTGTCTTCTCGCTACTGAATGGTAATTTTCATTCTAAATATTAAAGTGACAGTGTCTATTTTTGCCCAAAGTTCTTCGTAGTTTTTCGCTGGGTTGAAAATGTTAATGGGCTACCGCGTTCTTTTGTAATGAAAATGGGCCATAAAAAAAGGTTGAAGCCTCAGCGTTAGTACGATGTCCTGAGACTCCTGACATTACGAACATCCATGTGATAAACTCATTATATTTATGTTCATAGAAATCTAACCTCGGGAGCAACATCTCCTTCCAAATCAAACAGCCAATCAGAAGCTTCAGTGAGTGCTTTTGTTATTTCTTCCTGCTCCGTTGATGTTAATGCTTTCTCGTATTGTTCCTAAACATGAAAAAAATGATCCATTTAATCTTGAATTGCTTATTTTCATATTTATCCTGGAAAAGAGAAATAATGATAAGGCTTAATTTGAAAATGGTGCTCCCATGTATCCTACATAAAACAATATTCTACAATTCACCTGATACAACTTATCTCTTTTATCATAGATATACGATTCTAAACCATTCATAGCTTCTTCTCTTGCAGCTTTCAAAGCATCAGTCGCTGACAATTCATTCAATCTGAATAAAATTAAGAAATTCCATTTCCTGTTAAACCTTACATCACTGTTAGTTTTAACCAGGTCCTATTTATATTTTACTGCAAAGGACATCATGAAAGCATTCAATATGTTTATTAGTTTTTATTAAATTTTTAATGTATGTGCTCAGTACTATGATATGAACCAATGATAAAACTGAGGAAATCCGATCAGTTTGCCTTTTGAAACGCTCAAAAATACCAAATTCTCAACTACTAGTTTTATCATTTTATATGAAGAAAAAATTACAACATATTTTGAACAAACACATCTCTCGTCAAAGCTCAATGTTTTGCATCAGTACTTAACCTACTTTTCCTTAGATGCATCAAAAACATCTGATGAATGACCTTTGAAATCATTTCTTGAAATAGTTTTTTCAACAGGAGCAGATATTTTCACTTTTTTAACTTTTTTTGAAGTTTCAGTTCCATCTGAAAACAATAGAAAAATTCCTTCATGAGAAAATTCGATATGCAGACAAAATCAGGTTCTATTCAAGATTTTCCCTCATTTATAGTCGCATTAATCCATATTCTGTTCACATCCATATTCTAACTGTTGAAGCTAGGGGTTTGTTTTCCATCAAAATCTTATCAATTAGCTTGAATTTATATAATTTTTGCTAAATTCAAGAAAATAAATATTCAACTGACTTTTCGTTGTATTGGATGCTTTCTCTTCGGTGGTATTTTCAAATGTCGATTTTGCTTCCTCAGTTTCTTTTTTTTTCATTTCTTCACTTTCAGATTTATCGTTAGACTCCTTTGAATTTTTGTCATCTGATTCTTTTGTATCTGTTTTACCATCTTCATTAGCAAATTCACCTTTGCTGGACGGATCATTAGTTTCAGTTGTTTTTTCCTCATTCTTTTCCTGTTCCTTGCTTTCTTTTTTATCTTCATCACCAGTTTCTGGAATAAAATGAATTTAATATATTATTCTGTGGGAAAAATACAGAAACCTCAAAATCCTATTCATATAGTATTGTGTTGTGGTATTGTGTTATAATAATTCATAACTACGGTAGTTCTTATATTAGAACTTATATCGTTCGATTATAAGAAGACCAGAAAAATAACAAACTGTGCTTCGATGCATTTATTGAGTGCACAAATAGGTATGTTATGAGTTGATCCATATATTAATACAAAATGTTTTTCGTGTTTGGCCACATATTTATTATGGATATTTATTATATCCAGGAGGGACTGATTGTCATCTACACAAAAGGCAAACAAACAGTGATGAAATGTTGAACAGTCCTTGGTGAGATTTCAAGAAGTAATAATCATGCTACACACTACTGAACCAAATATTTGCATGCAGGGATGGCCAATACCGAATAGTTCACTATTTTGAATGCATTCGAAATTATTATTTTCGAATATGAAATTTCGAATACTGCGAAAATAAATTCAAGTAAAATAAGCTTATCTTGGTGTACGTCAGTATTTGTATACAATAAACAATGGAATTGCCGTTACCCACAAGCTGGCTACCAGAAAATTTATACCCGCCGATTGCCGTGATATTTTATAGTACTATGCCCTTTTTAGGTACAAGAGTGCGAATCAAAATTAATTATAATCGGACAGTTTACCATACATTTTATGTCCACAGATTGCCGTAGTATTTTCATAAAAGTAATCCTTTCATTTGTAAATTCATAGGCTACGTTGAACCCAATTAAAGTAATACCGCAAGACATTTTAAATTCTGGTATCAGTCTTCGCTTTATTGAATAAGTCAATACTCTTAACAATCATTATCAAAACTATTTGCCGAAAGTGGGTGCGAGTAAAAATTATTTTTTTGTGAGTACAAAAATATAAATTAATTATATTCCGGCATTTTACCACACATATATCCACAGATTGTCGCAATATTAAGTTGTAATGCGTTTGTTTTTGGTAAGTACCAAACTAGGAATCAAAAAATAATTATAATCAGGCAGTTACCACACATTTTATGTCCACAGATTGCCGCCGTATCTTAGAGTAGTTATGCATTAATTTCTTCGTAAGGTCGACGTGACTATGAGTTACGTTAAACACAATTAAATTAATACGGTAAGGCATTTTAAATGCTGTTATCGGCCATGAATTCGAATAATTTGTCGCAACAGAAAATCATCCTAGCTAAAAGTTCATACTTTTAACTATCATTATCAAAAGTAGTTTCCTAAATGTGGGAAATAGTATAAATTATTTTTCCGCGAGTACGAAAATACAAATCAAAAATTAATTGTAATCGGGCAGTTTACCGCACATTTTATGTTCACAGATTGCCATGGATTTTAGAGTTGTAATATTATTTATTTTTCGTAAGTACGGAAATAGGAATAAAAAATTAATTGTAAATGGGGCAGTTTACCACACTATTGAATAGTAATACTTTTATTTTTTCGTTAGTTGACGCAACCATGAGTTACATTAATTGAACAAAATTAAATTAATACGGTAAGGCATTTTAAATGCTGTTATTGTTCACAAATTTGAATATTTTGTCGCAACGGAAAATCACCATAGTAAAAAGTTGGTACTTTTTGACTATCATTATCAAAATTATTTGCCAAAAAGCGGGAAAAAGTGTAAATGATTTTTCCTAATAAATCAACTCGATTTTTCCAACCTGCGACAATTTATTGGGTGTCGTAATTTGTAACAAAGCGCACGACTTTATTTAACTTATTTAATATCTGATTTACTAGTACCGGTAATGGATTTATGTGAGACTCGTGACCTAATACAAATGAATGCGTGAATTAGAAGCCTTGCAAGGGAATGGCAATAGTGCCAATCTCACAACCGTGCAAATGTGTTGCAACAATAAGAGGCGCATGCTCGCACAGAAGATAGCAAACAATCAAAGCACCGATACTATTTCACCGTCATTACAAAACGTGACAAAGCGCGGAAAATCGTTTGAAGATTTCTCTTTAAAACGAAACGAAAGTGGCTATTATTCGGAATTATTCGAAAATCAGCCGAAAAGGTATTCGAATACTTTGATATTCGAATAACTTCGAATATTCGATTCGTTTTGGACAACCCTGTTTGCATGCATCTATATATTAACATTACTAATTAGTTAGTACCTTCTTTGTCTGTGGGTGAACCTTCTGCATCACCACCAAAAAGGCTTGAAAAGCTGTCCTTCAATTCTAAATAATGACCATGCTGTTTTTACTTATTATGTTGACAATACTACCATGGATTAATCATCAAGTAATAATCCTAAAGTTCTTCATACCAGTCAGTGTCAGGTTGGATTAAATCGACTATTTTGATTATACTCATTAAGTTGGATTTGAAGAGACTAGATTGCAATCAGCAAATCCTAATTCAAATAGGTTTCTTACAGTGGCATATTTTAATAATTGAACACTTGGTGAACACGCTAGATGCCTATTAGCAACATCTACACACAGCTAAAAGAACCAAATAAACCCCAACTACAAACCAAAATCAAACTACAAGAAATCAAAACAATGCAATGCATACTTTGAAAAGCTGAGGCATCTTCTTCAGTGGTGTTATCGACTTCTGCTGATGTGGTATTAGATTCATACAAAGACTCAACCTGTAAATTATGATTTTGCTGATAAATAAAAGAGTTCAACTATGCATATAAAGAAAATGATTAACCTGATAGTGATAACTCAATCACTCGATAGTAATGAACAGTTACATACAGCTGAGTCTTATGACAAATCAATTGCCTTACTATTTGTTGTCAATGCCAATGTGTCCTGGATTCTATAATCAATGACCGGACTTTAACTACTATATTGTGCAAAGAAAGATAAATAGAAGAATGGGAAATCAAATGAGTTTCAAAACAAGATGGAGCTCAATGCAAAAAATACAGCAAGAGTAAGCAGAATTGACAGGCATTTCAAGAAAAAACATTCTGCCAAAATATTTTAAATTACGTTCAGGGAGCAGAATGGCTAACATTGATTTAAATAAAGGAGAAAATGCAGGAAAGCTTGATTAGGTTTATCACAAGTTAAATCAATTTTTTTTTCCAAATCACAAGACAATGATGATTTAACCTCCAAGCTCTGTTACTCGTTCCAGATTTCGCAGTTAGGCATGATTCACATCATAACCCCCAAACAAAAACCCAATGGGGGATTAGTTTATGCATGCGTGGTTGATTCCACTCCTTTATTTAATAGAGAAGTGTTGATATAAGCAGCCCCAGTAATATAGGGGGTCATTTTCAAACGCCTATGAGATGGATATTTTTGAAGTTCCAAAGATCTTCAACACAGCCTCAAATGTTTTTTCCTAAATCTAATGGATTTTTATGGCAAAAAGTGATGAGAAAATTAACATTAAGATTTGCTACTTAATCTTTTGGTCAATCCTAGTGAACTGCAGACTCACGATTCTGCTTATGTTAGTTAGGAAAAACTATGTCCCAATTAATAATTTTCCACCATCAAATCTTAACACTAATTAACCACCTCTTCCAAATTCAAGATTCCATTTTCATCCATTCTGAAATGAGCTTTGACACCTTTTGATTCAGTTGCATTATTTCCACCATATAACTCATGAGCTGCTCGCACACCTTCCAATTTGACTGATGAAATATTTTTTGTTCCAAACAATCTAAAATAAATGGAGATACATAGATTCGGAACTATCAATGCACAAGAAGAAATTTTTTCTAATAGAACACAACAAACTGAAATAAATATCAGACAGACTTGTTTGTGACACATACTTGATAAATTTATTAAATAAAACAAAATGAATGGCCGTCATCATTTTCGCTCTTACAGATAAAAGCCTAAAACAAGTGCATAAACCACACCATCCTATACATTGTAAAACAGGCGTTTACAAACTGAACAGTTTCTATGGTTTCTCAGATGGCAGTTAAGATTATGATGGAAATTTTTAATGCAAAATTTCTATTCTCTACTTGAAACTAATAACAGCATCGTTTTACAGTCAGTACATCAGGCGGTTTCACGATCAAGACTATAATATTCTGTGCATTATCACCTTATCTTATCTATTATAATTGGCACTGATAATGACGCACATCTCAGTGATAATTGAGATATGTATAATACGCTGTACCTTGAGATTTGTTTATGCTGATTATTGACAAGCAATGGCGCAAGGTTCGGAATAGAGTGATGAACAAATTACTTGAAACGCATTGTTTTTTAACCAAGAATTGCTAACTGTGGCAGCCTCAAAAAATATATCTTTAAAATTTATCACAGAAAGATATTTATTCTTCGACCGATGAAAACCCTCGACAACAATTGTATCTGCTGACCTGATTGTAAACCAACAAGAGAGAGTGTGTATAATTTTCTCGCTATAAAACACACACAGAACAAAGTTAACTGTCGCTGAAAAGTGATTGCTACCAATTTTGCGCTCAAATGGAGAAAAGTGTTATGTGCTCATTTATAGACTTTTCAAACTCCAGACACAATCATTCATTAATATATAAATCTCAGCACATTGAAATGAAAAGTTGATTTCATTAACATTGAATTGCGACAAGTAGGAGTTTTATATTTCATACACACTTAATCGATACCACATGTGAGCTCGATTTTGTGCATATAAAAGATTATGATGCCACTGCAAATCTAATATCCTCGAGTAGTACTTTTCTCTCAAAATTAATTTCATCTCTTGCACATTGAAATGCGTGCACATAAGATACAATTTCCTAGGAGATGAATTAATATGTCATTAACACATGTGAAATTAATTTGGGAATCACTTGTATACATCATCCGTTTGTTTTCTATATTCATGTCTCATGTTGCGATACTAACAATTCTATTCTGTTCTTGTCTATTTCACAACATTTATGTTTGTGATATAATAATTGGAATAATATGGCAGCGTACATGCCCCACTGGAATTTATTCAATGGCATTTCACTGCTAACGTCGCACAATTTTTAGTTCTTCAACCGCATGATGGTGCCATGCATTGCCCTTTTGGCATGCTGATTTAATTCCAGCATAATCACCGGGTTCAAAAAAATGCCCCACAGGAGAAAGGTCGAGAATTTTTTCACGCAATGTATATAAATATATAGTGTAATGAGGAACAAGTATGCTCTTTCTATGATCGCTCTATAAAACTTACTTTGATTGTTCCTCCGATAAAAATTTTAAATCTCCATAATTAACATCAAATCCAAAGTCAGAATAGAACCTGTTGACAACAATAGGTAAGGATATGTATTTCAGTAAGAAAACTTTATTTTATTTTTATTTACAGAGGAAATTGAACTTGTATCAACGATGGTGACACCTTGCCTAGTACTAGTAGACTGAAGATCTGTTTTACCTGTTGAATGTAATGACTTTTCTTTGAGGATATGGATTATTTCTTTGAAACAATGTCTTTCGAACATGTTTGGTTGTCTCTGAACCATCTTCAAGAGTTGTTGTTCTGTCAAATTCAATCTGGAACAAAACAATATGGTTGATGCATCAGGAGTTCAATAAATTGGGATTCAAAGATAAATAATCTTTTGAAACCATAGCGTTTGAATACTTGATTATTGAGAACAAGTTGAAGCACAAACAGTAAAAGAATGTACGGTAATCACTATTTTATTCATCAGCGAATTTTTCAAGTCAAATCAGTTACTTTTTTGTCTCCAAAGCCACAGTTTGAAAAATCAAGATACAACCGCAGTACTTTATTGCCAATAAGAAAAAGTTTATTTTCTGGCCCAAAAACACCCTGAGAACAAACACTATGCCGACATGTATTGATTACCATGAAATGGGTGAATGCCTTGTAAACTCAATAGGTAGCATATAAACTCAAATATTGTGAAATGACACATCCTCATTAATTACCCTAATTGAGATTGAGAAGTTCACGATAAACTAAATCATTTTTGCTGTTTTGCACATAGTTCAACTATATCTTGGAACAGTAGAGAAACTTCACCTCAAAATTAGTCCCCACTCAACAAGCATAAAAATAAAACCTTTATATTTCATCACATTGGACAATTTGTAATTCTCTTGAACGATAATAGACAACTTACATCAATAGGATATACAGCTCCAGATTTTATATGAAATGTTTTGACACGGAAACCATTTGATCGAGCCGCAGCTTCATAAGATGCCCCCAAAGCTGGTGCTTCATCTGTATTCAGACTTTTTCCAAGAGATTCTCTGAAAAATGATGTATTTCATTTTCATATTTAGCTACAAAAAGATAGCTAGTTTAACAAAGCTAATTATCTAACAACCACAAACTCTTTTAACCACTTGATTTTCGCAAGATTCAAATAAACAGATAATGTATTGAATGAGGAATGTGATCTAAACTTCATAAAAGCTATAACTTACTTTCCTGTTTCTTTGAGTAAAATCTCTTGAACTTTAGGAACTCTTGTGCCTCCACCAACCAGAACAACTTTACTGATCATATCCTGGAAAACCAATCAAAATATTATTTTCAACAACCTCTAGTATTCAGAGGAAATGCGATTTGTTTCATCATATTATTTTGCAAATGGCCAACCAACCATGTTATATAAAAAAATTGTTAAAGCAGATTTCAGATTTGAATTTATTCCCAGTCGAAGCGGAGCACAAGCGTACTAAAACTAACTATTTTTGATATAATGATACCTGAAGGTTAATATGTCAAGCATCTATACAGGGATGTCCACAACAAATCAAATATTTGAATACATTCAGAGTTGGTTATATTCGGCATTGTAAGTTATTTAAAAAAAATTTAGAATATTTTCTTTCCAAACATTATTATTTGGTGTTATTAAAGTCCACAATAAACACTAGGAAAACATTTTTAACCTGTGAAAATTACCGAACACAAAAATATTCAACCCTATATTTTTTAGTTTTCTAATAAACTTTTAAGTATATATTAGATCAATTCAGAATATGTTCAGAATAGTAAGTTATTCGATTTTCCCTGCTTCTTTATGTTTGAAATTTTATCAAATTATTACCGGAATTTTCGCCCGAACAAAAGACTTACTATTGTAAGACCAGCTGATTTAAGTGCTGTTCTAATTGGTACCGCAACACGGGGCCACATATCGGAACATAAATTCTCAAATTCTTCTCTTGTTACTTTGGAATGAAAATCTTCATCATCAATCAAAGATTCAACCTAAGAAAGAGCCATGGTGTTAATGTTTTTTTAATCTAATAACCCTAACCCCTTCTTTTCAATGGTCCTGAGCAACTTTTGACACACATAGCAAAAATTGTCATATTATGTTTACCAAAAAGTACATCCGTCATCTTCCAGTCTAGCCTGGTCTTGTGAAGTGCGACTAAACGTGAGATATTGAAGAAGAGACTATGAGCGCTTGTCCTTTCGCATCAGTTTACCATTGCATTCAAGCTGTTTGCCCATCTTTCGAAAGTGGGGAACATTTTGTACCTAGTGTCATATCATAACAGGAAGGTGGGAGTAGAGTATGAGCTTATAAGTACGGAGATGTCAAAGCACTGACATTCTGTATGACATAGTGACTCGTCAGGCATTATCTATTTTCTCAAGTTACAATTTATTGTAAAAAATATACTAACATAACTTAACATAAGTAACATTTTGAAGATAAAAATGAGGCCGGCCTTACAAAATCAAGTGAAATACCATAGACGTGTATACCAGTATGCATGTACTGGCAACAGTGCTGCACATTCGAAAAGCATGTGCAGGAAATAACTGAACTGTGGTACATATATAAATTTTGTTCACAAAAATAAATCTCTGAAATTCCAACCTAGGGTTTATTATATGTGTACATAGTTGTTTCAGTGTTATAACATACCCTTGCATGATGTTCAACATTAGCACTCAGAACTTTTTTCAATCTTCCTGCCTCTTTTAAAAGTTTCGCCATTGAACGAAGATTTTTTGTTACATCGCTTTTGGTCTTTTTATTTTTATTAAAAAGCTGTACGATGAAAAATACTTAAATATGGTCAAGTACAAAATCATTCAAAAATATTTTTTGCTTTTGACTGAATGCAGAGTTATTGATAAACCCACTCAAAAATAATACAAAAATACAAATAGCAGCACTGTATTTTTGAAGTTGGTAAATGACCACTGCATAATGCTGGCAGACAGAACAGGTTTCTTTGCAGTTATGGCTGATTGGCTGTTGTATATTTATTAATAACAGATTCACAACATTTATCAAAATGCAGACTCATTATAACGTTTTGTAACTATTTGAAGGGTACTAACAACATTAGGTATACATTCAACATTTTAAAATTGAATCACTTTGAGGGTCACGCTGTTTTAACATCAAACTGTGGCATTCATTAGATGTGTATGAACTCTAAACAGAATAAAGTTGTGCTAAGCCTTGCTAGTTTGGGGGGTAATATCACCCATTACTGCTATAGACATCTGAATGTGTGCAATGAGATTTACATGGATAGATATTCTACTATTTTTGACTAATTAATTTGTATCACTATAAAGGAATACAAATTATTCTGAAAATTACCTTAACTAAATGTTCTCTTATTCGAAATTCCATATCAAAAGATCCTAGAGTTCTGTCAAATCCAACACCTTTTACAGCCAGTTGTGGATCAGCAATTCCATTCACTTTAACCACTTGATATGCTGAATTGGAACAAACATTCAATTGTTAGATTGCAAATTAGATAACAGCAGTAACTGCTTATTCAATACTGTGGAAAAGCCTGATATAATAACTTTGTAAATCTTTTAAAAACATCTGCCAACAATTTGGTATCTGCCATCATATAATTGAAGATTACAGAAAAATCATATGATGTTCAAAGTAGAAAAACTCGCATCGAAATTGAATGGTTAATTTTTATTGAAGATGTTAATGAAAAAAAAATCATTCATGATCTGATTATTACGTTTTTTTTAAGTCATGTGTAGAAAAGAAATCTGAAAGCTTACGTCCGTCTCTTAATTAACTAAATATATTTGTAAAAAAAGGAGCTATATCTAGGTTTCATTTCCTACTATGCCATTTTTATTTGAGGTAATTATACACTTTAATCTTTCATCCATGATGCAAAAAATATTGTCAACATAATAAGAATGCTACTTTTTTTATGCTATATCATCATAATATTGACTGTACATAAACATGCCTGGAAAAGCATATTTTGGTTCAGATATTTTTACTAAAACACTTCATATTCTCAATTTTGATTATTTAATATGTTTTGACGAACAATCTTTTTGGATCGATGCATGTACAACAACCCTCAGCCCCCGGCGCTAAAGGATGAAAATCTTACAAACAATAGTAGCAGTGGTGCTAGTAGCTCCCATGTCATAGAACATTACATAAGATGCTGTGGCATTGATGTTATTTCTCCTGAAAACTCCATAATTCAATGCACCTGAACAAAAGATTGAAATTATTGAGAGTAGGAGACAGCATGAAAGAACAAAAAAAAAAGAAAAAAAAATCAATAGCCTATATTTTATAAAACTGTTTTTAAATCTGGCTCAAGATTGATATTGGGTACATACTTTAAAATGATTATCCTAAAAAGGCAACTAATTTACAAACAGGTTTCCAAGTAATAAACAGCCAGTTTATTGATCCATCAGTTCAAGTCAAATGATCATTCAGCTAACGGTGTCTCAAAAATGTCGTGTCCCACTTGTGCAACGTCTTGGTCCCTCTTGTCCCATGTTTCCCACCCATGTGAACCTATTGTCCTTTGAAGAGTGGGGCACAACATTTTTTATAGACACCCCTCAGCTATAATACACTTTGCGTCAAGTAGCACATGCTAAGAACGTGGGCATTATTTATGTGGATAGCATGGTAGTTTATACATTCCATTTTACAAAAAAGGAATGGAAACTTGTTGTAACACACTTGTATCTCACAATGTGACGGCACAAAATGACAGTGAGTTTAGTTATATGATTTCCTGAAAAATATTTTGAATTCGTTGAACCCAAAACTAACAGACAGAAACAACTTTTATCTGCAATGAAATGATGATACTCTTATGATTTCAAAGCGTAAACTTATTTACCTACAGAATGCTACTTACTTGCAGTATTATCATCCATTAATTGAGGTCCTGGTAACCCAGCAAGTTTTGCTGCATAAAGCACCATCATGCGTTCAGCTTGATTAAAATATGATGGCACTGTGATCATACACGAATCAACTGCTTGCTCTGTGTAAAAAATAAGGAATATTTGATTATCTTGGTTTTATATGGTCGAAAGTAATCTTTAATACTAAAGGGAATAGATGTTACTATTTATAAAAAATGGACGAGTGATACATCGGTAGTCGAACGACTCGATACTTGAACAATTCAGTAGTCAACCAAAAAATGTTGGTCAAAAATGCCGCGGTACTCGAACGAAAATTCGATGCTCGAACAACCGAGCGCACCGCCGGGTGAAGTGATGTCACCATCTGTCACAGTAGACTACCAGTACAGCACTCTTCACAACTAACGTGGAAGCGCAACTGCCACAAAGTGCGCAATTTTAATGAGGTTATCGCACACCAAAAACGAATTCTATAGAGCTCACAGCAATTTAAATTTTGTTCCTATTTTTATCTTCATTATGTTTAATCTTCATTACCGGTATGTACATTTGACACATTCAAATAATCATTGTTGTTTAGGTAGACGTTTTGTTAATATTTTGTGACGTGCAAGAGAACAAATTAAAATAATTACTAGAGCTCGACCGATATATCGACCAACGGATGCCCCTGCGTTTGCGGTTTCCCAATAATTCTCTCGCTTTCATTTTGCGTTATAAAGGTGTCTCTCCTAATTCCCGGTGTCTTATGATTAGCCATTTCATGCATGGTCATAACTGAAAAGTTATTATGACGTTTTATAAAGTGACGTTTTTGAGAGAGTACACACACAATGAGAAAAAGGCAAATTTAGTAACAGCATTAAACGGTGGTTCTATGAATAGAATCGATTGGAAGCTGGTGAGTTAGTAATCATAGATACATGGTACAGGTAGCTCAAAGCAATACTGTCAATTCCGAATTTGTGACCTCCCCAAATTCAATTTTAAAGTTCTGTGGTAACAGTTTTGTCTATATTGATGGTTGTTTATCATTTTGCTGAAAATTACAAAACAAAAACTTAATCCATTATTATTGACTAAATAAGGTATTGAGAGTCTCTGGAAACAAAGTTATTAAAAATTTCACATGTAACTGCACATATGCTATCACAATATCAGAGGATCATTATCACGATTCACTTTAAAATATACCAATTTATAATTTTTTAATACCCTTACGTATGTCCATAGTTATATTTAAAAACGTCTGATTAACAATTCTCTTTCCTGGAAATAGCTAGACTGATATTGAGGTAGCAGGAAAAGTTACAGAATAACATTTGTTCGAGCATTAACTAAAGTTAGTTAAATAAAAGTCTTACTGCCATGATAACAAATATCAAAATGAAACTACAGACTCACAAGGTGCATCATAAAAGTGGCTCAAAATATGATTTTTAATATTATCGGCATTGCGATATCGGTTATCGGCCACCAGTTGGCCGATATATTGGTATCGGCATCAAAAAGTGATATCGGTCGAGCTCTAATAATTACCATTGTTTGTTATGGCAAAAAAAGTTTCAGTAGTCAAACACCAATCCTGAACGAATTATGTTCGACTACCAGGGTATTACTGTATACGAAGTGAAGGTCACATGAGTGGGAAGAACTGAATAGTTCAACTTTCCTGAGTCCAGGGGCATGAATGTGAATGTTATGAAGACATCTCGACTGACTAAGTCATCTTGACACTTGAACAAAATTTGTACATAACTGAACTTAAACATAATTTTATCTTAATAAAATTCAACAACATTCAGAAAGTTTGAATATTTCAATCAGACATGGGATGATATGCATATACATTTGAATTGCAGAACAGAAGATAAGTACATGTACATCACAAACAGTATTTTTGTAGAAACAAAATTTCTCACGAGCAAAGTCTTCTGCTAATGATCTTGAATAATTAAATATCATGGCAACTAATTCTTCAGGTGAATATATAATCTTCTTTTCTTCATCATGCCTAAATAAAATTACAAAAGCATTAGTTGAATTTGGTGTGTTTTAAAATGACCATTTTAGAAAATGTACTGCACTGAATACAAGAGCAATATTCAACACTCCCAATAACTCAAAACTCCAAGTTCTATTATGCAGAACACTAATGGCTTTATCATGGCTTGAAATTTTTGTTTAATAAATAAATACTATAATTGCAAAATAAGGGTGATACTTTCGTAACAAATTGGTTGGAATTATTAAAATTTGTGGACTTAAAAAAGTAAAATGAAACTGACGACGATTCTTAGTAATGGTATTGTTCTGATTTGAATTTGATAGGGAAATGGCTGAGAGAAAAAAATTACAATTTGACACAGTAATATTTCAAAGTAGTAATCTTGCGATTCTTGATTCTAATACCCAAATAGAATTTTTCTGCTTACATGAATTGCACGTATCCAGTGGAAGGATCTTCAATCAAATCATAATATGGAAATCTTTCTTTATAACGTTGAACAAGTGGATTGTCCATTTTCTTTGCCAGCAAATCAGTAAGGTAAAAATATGTTGATTTTGGAAACCTGACACCCTGCAAAAAATTCAATAAAGATAACTTGTGAAATTAGAACTCAAAATAATCCAATTTATAGTACGAGTCGGTTTAGTTGTGGTATAGACAAGAATATTGCTTACAGAGTACAGTACTTCTGATAACTTACATTCGAACTACCATTTGCACATTACAATTTATAAAACCTAGAACTTTTTTTTGCTTCTCATTCTGTCTTCCCCACTCGCAGAGGCTTTCAATAAAATTACCTGAGTTACAGCAGGACTCCCAAACAACCTCACACCATCTTTCATTGAAACTGCAACTTCAGTTTTTCGCTTTGTTTCTCTGAAAATTACTAGTATTTTTTACTTTATTGGTTTGTTCTCTATAGAGATTTTATCAACTAGTAAAAATATGAAAGTCTTGAACAATTTTTGCAAATCCTCTGATTGAGAATCTGTTTCATTTCAGAGTTTGTATATAAATCACACTCTATTTGTTCAAGGGCTAGGAGAGATCAATGTATTAATACACAATTAAAAGATAACAACTAAAGCAAAAATATTTTTATTTGAAAAATACACTTTGAAACAAAGGTAAAAATATACCTATAAAAAACTTTTGCTTTTATAGGAAATACAGAAATAGTGTAATTCAATTGTGTACATTGCATTCTTTTGAATTCTATCCTTCAAATGATTCATTCAAACAAGATAGAATGAGATAAATACTTGTTAAGAACAATCTCCATTGGCACTCCTGGTTTTACAATTGCAATTTTCATCCACTCGCTACTGAGGTCAATAGACATAACAGTGATGGCATCTGATAAAGCAATATTGAAAAGCGAAATGAATTAAAAATGTTTGATTTGCTTGAAATTTCAAGAAATTATTGTGATATCAGGATATATATATATATATTGTAAATAATTGAAAAATGAAATTAAAGTTGTTTTGCTCATAAAACTGTCTGTAATACATAAAAACATAACCAACATAAAAACTGAAATCCAAACATGTCACCTGTACTCACCAGATATTGGGGTTATTGCCATAAGACATAAAGAAATTAAAAAAATCTTCATCTTCATCATTTTTTGAAGATAACTTTTTTATATTATATAATGCATAGACTAAATTCTGAACTACTGAACTATCTGCAAATACAATGAATATTTTTCTATTTAACTTATAAACTTAGGACAGTCTTGACAGCATGAAGCCAAGCTTGACTGGTCGGATATCTGGATATGATTACAACATACAGTAATTATGCTATTCCAGTATTCGAATAGACCTGATACAATTTTACCTCCATTCCATTCGTCGTCGGGTGCGGACGTATCTGCTTGAAAAGACTAACTAGGGAATGCTACGCGCTGTATGTTTCGGTATTTGTATCGCGTAATATCAACATGAACAAAGCCCATCCATCGGAATTAAAGAAGATTGTGGATAAAAGTTTGGATTTGAAGTTGAATGGTGGACAATCTGTTACGGGTATATTGCGAGGTTTCGATCCTTTTATAAATTTAGTTGTGGATGATGGAACAGAGCGCAGAAGAGATGGGACCACTACACCTGTTGGAATGGTGGTCTTTGTGGAAATTCGATATTAATGTTGGAAGCATTAGAACGGATACAACGATTTTGAATTGAACTAATCAAAAACGACAAAAGAACGCGATACCCCGATCCATGATTTGTGCATAGACCAGTAGACTGCTATGGAACATTCAATCTATTTACCGAGCTTTTTGCAATGAAATTGAACTAGGCCTATAGCATCACCATTTTACGTCAGCGATTGTTTTTCATTCCATATTTTTGTAGTAAAAGCACTGTTCGTGTTACACACACACGTCTCCGATTTTAAATTTAATTTAAAGTATTGCCCGATTTTATATCGTGTTTTTGTTTCATTACAGTACAGCACACTATCCAAATTCTAAGAATTTTTCTTCATTTGGCTCAATATAACAAACACTTCATGTGTCTCACAAACGGGGGCGTCACGTGGAACCACGTCAGATGCTTCATATTGCGCCATGCTTGTCTCAATGATAATCTAAATTAATCGCGGCTGTCACACGACCAAATCAGCCGTTTTTTGCTAAAAACTCTCGAATGCTACGGGAATATGATGACGTTACTAGATTACGCTTTTTTGTGATATTTTTGTTTATAATATAACTTCATTATACTGTATTATTACCGATATTGAATGACAACAATGTCCAGACGTCTCCTGAAGGAGGGGTGTCTGATCATCTGTAAAATGGATTTCTCTGAAATGGGACATTGTCACCCGATTTGTATAGTGTGCCGTACTGCATTATGTTTTGGCTGTTTTTAGTGGACGGGCACGTATTTGTACGTTTTTAACTTTTTTATTAAGTTAAGCTCGTCCTCCAGGTCCTCTGTATTTTGTTTTTTGTTGTTTTGTCAGAGTGACCAAATAAAATTGATTGATTGAACTCAATCTTTTGGGGTCAAAATGCCACAAAAGAAATATCTAAATTTGATGTGAAAATAAAGGACGTAACATTAACCGTCGAAATACAGATTTTTTTAAATAAGTTTGACTCGTCAGCTCGCTAACGTTATATCAGTATATCCTATTCCAGTACCGGTATTAAGCTTTTTGACATACCGTAGAAGTATGGGGCATAGTCTACCTGCTTAGTACAAGAGGATAGTAAGAACATTGACAGATTGAGTAGGTTTGATTTTAAATTTCACATCTTGCTGTCCTGAGATCACAATTTTGTTTGGTTTCATTTCTGTTTACAGGTTTAAGCAGTTACCGGTATGTGCTTATTTCCCATCACATTATGACATTTTAGGCCGGCGTCATTTCAGCATTTACTGTACCGTATTTAAACGGTAATAGTTTTTACCCTGCTAGACGTACAGTATTTTTCGTCTAACGTTACCATACTTATAACCAGATAGGCTACCGGTACGGTAACACAGAACACAAAAAAATAAAGAACACAGATTTCCGTACCCTGGTACTGGTACCGCAGGCAGGTACTGAGGCATGGTTACGAGAAAATCAGGAAAATAAAACTAACGTTAGGTACACTGTCAGGACGAAATATGAAAAACGTTCCGCTCCCGGTGAGGACCTGAAGAACACGCTTCGGAACTATAACTCAAGTCCCGCTCGCGACTGATACGTTTCCACGCATTTCCGCGTTTGGTCGATCTGGTTCATTGGACACGTCATGTCTACTAGTGTCTACCATACCAATATTACTTCCTTGTTTTAGACCCACTTATTCCAAAGTGGTTCATATATCCAGTAAATGCCTAATGGATGATTCCCCGATTTCCTTGTTTATATCTGTAACAATAATCAATAAGTATTAAGGCAACGCAACAATTGCAATTTTTACAGTCGCTCATACACTTCCTCCGCTCAGACAGATATTGAAGCATGGTTGTAAACATTGCGTCGTTTTCGTGGTTTTGCGTGTTATTTGTCAGTTTTAGGTCGTGCCCTTACAAAATAGTTGTAAATCAAATAACTCAGCTGTCATTATAACTTTCGAAGAAAAATTAGTTCAGTTGCAATAATCAAAAATTAGTCCCGCAAGCGCTGCAATAAATTAGGGCTAAATTTAACTGTCAGAACCTATATCCAAATGTGGTTAATTAATTTTTTTTTACTAAAAGTAATAAACAGGTGAACCAGTTTGCGAGTGCCAATTCTTCAAAACACTCATACTATGAGCGTCAAAAAATTTGGAATGGTAAGGTAAAGGGTTTCGTTTTCTGGGGTCAAGGGTCGGGGAAACATCCATACACGTCATGGTAACTTTTGTTCTTGCTGTGAGATTTAAAATAATGTGTTATGGCTGAGATAAGACGCTTCTGAATAACTTGAACAGTCAGGTCACTGTAAAATATAAACAACTTGGCAGACTTTCCTCCGGGTCTTCCCATAATGATAATGTATTTCAATAATTCACCGGAAACTTATCTGGTACTTGGGACACTGTTATGGTATATTTCACTCTGATAAAATGTGCAAACTTCAGACGAGACTTATGAGTCAAACATAGTCTGTGTCTGCTCTGTCAGGAGCGATGAGAAGTTGGTTTTAGTTATCGATTCGAAAACTTATGGATGCGGGACATATTATTATGTAGTACAAAGGCTTTGGGATATGGAATACATGAAAATATATGGAGCATTCGTGATATGTACTTTTTGCATGTTAGTGTACTTTGTTCAAATACATTTTTTTTGCAAATAGATCATATGTGGCCAGGTGTATACCACCGGGCCTATTTTATACAGCGAACGGATATTTTAATACAACGATGACTTGTAATAGGCTACCTTGTCATAATGAAATTGTTTGTCGGTCAATGGTACAGAACAGTCACTCTGAACTACATGGCCAGCGCAAGTCATTTTACTGTTACCGATTTTAAAAGACTGATCTTGAGGGGCGACGTTACAACAATTAAAAAGCTGAATTGGTGGTCTTGTACAAGATCTTTTTCACTTGTAATTACTGCGACGTTTCCAGTTGGTTTTGAGAAATTTGGCAGTTTTGTAACGCTGGGCGATTTTTGCTGCCTAACCATACTTCTATATAAAGCCACGATCCTCATTTCGCTGCTAACAATATTGCCATGTCACCTTCATTGTTTATATCAAATAATGTTCAGATACCTTTTAATATTATTCTTACACCCCTCACTTTGAAGTCCCAGATAAGCGTTTTCCTAAAAATACAAAAATGGTAGGATTTGGGTCAAGTCCCTGCTCCCTTGGCACAAATAGAAATAGCTACTTCAAGTTTACTGGTGACGCGGTTGATTTTTTTTCATAGTTAACATATTATATATCCATTATACTTGCGTGATTAACATACGGATCTTCCGTACAACGAAATTTTTAAATTAATTTATGACAACATATTACATGAACATCTCTCTTATGACGCCAAAATTAATTTCAATCAGAAAACCGTATGATGTCACTATTATTTTTCATAATTAATAGCAAATATCACAATTGCGATATCACACAATCTTGAATAGGGGTGTGATCTCCACCTTACCTCAGGTTATTGAACCTTCCCTCTCCCACACATTTTAAATTTAATTTGAGGGTAGTGTTTAATTAAAATCATTTTTAAAATTCAAATTGGGTCTTATTTGGGAAGAAACACGGTAGTTTTGCGATGATTAGCCCTTGCCGTGTTCTGTGTTATGTCGTAATAATTAAATGGGTCGCCCTAAGCTGTGGTAATAAATAGTGGGCCACAACTCTAAAAAGTTTGGGAACCACTGCCCTAGTACATTGTGAGCTATTTTGAACGCATCCCACTCGGAAAAATACATTACTTGGAAATCGGAAATTGAACGCTACACAGTTGAAATTCAGATTACAAGGAGATAATTAGCTCCAAAATCGAGTATAACGAACTGCGGTATATTTGAAAGCTCTGTGAACCTTTTAGTAACAGTTTTCCTACTTTACAAATGGGATACAACTTGTTACTGAACCTCATAGAAGCGTAGGAATTAGGACAACTTTCTATACCGCAAGTCTAAATCGTTTATGCCGATGCCGAGTTATTTCGTTTGCCACTTTCATTCTCTTTGTTCTCCAGTTTTAAATATCACGATCATCAGAACACGAAACATTGCATTCGATCGGAAAAGTTCATTGCCCAACTAGGCCGGGGCATTGGAATTAATTCTGCGGGAATTTGAGTTTTCATACATCGTCGATTCTTCGTCTCGTTCATGAAATGGTAACTACATTTGTTTAAAATATGGTTATTTATTCGGGTGATGGTTCGATTCAATGATGCCATATACCAAAATACTAGGTAAAGGTTTTAACTTGCTCATATAAATACTTTAAATTGCTAATACAACCTATCGTCGCTGGAAAACTTAATAATTACGGCAAAAATTGCGTTTTTGATAACATCATGAAGCGATTAAGCGATATTTTCGAGTTCTTTGCCTAAAGTTGATGAAGAGCACGTGCAATGCACTCATTATATTCAAATACATTCGAATACAACAAAAAAAACGACATCGGAGGCGGAAAATTAGAATAATCGATGAAACCCTAGTTAGCCTAGTAGCTTCGATATGCGATGATATGTTCCCTAACTCCATTTATTTGCAAATTT